AAAAAAAAAAAAAAAAAAAAAAAAAAACTCCCATGAAAGAAAAACAAACCAAAAAATGAAAGAAGCATCACCTGTTTGTTACCAGGAAAGTAGCACGTCCAGATTCTCTAAGCATTTTGAGCATCGGAACAATTGAGGTATTGTCATTGATATATCTGATGGTGGCAGCGGCAGAGAACAATATAAACAAACTAGTCAAACAAGGAGTGCATTATGAGAATATACAAGACAATAAGGATAACAACACCATAGGGTTTGCATATTTCTAATTAATTAAAGATCATAGAAGATGTTCTCAACTACTCAACGCCTCCACCCATTCTCATCTCTCAAGCCTGAAATTCTTAAGGCGACAAAGCTTATACATCACTCTCTTCAAAGCTTTTCTAATTTAATTTAAGAGACATTTCTTAACCAATTTCTCCTACTGTGTTAGAAGCCAATTCTAATTCGATCTTAAGATTTGAAATCAGACTACAGATGGTCCCTAGATAAACCCGCAGCAAAAGAGCTATTAAACTAGATCTGTACATAAGATGTCAGATTTAAAAGTATTACGATTAGCTCTTTGATCAATCAGAAATGAAGATGGGTAAGATGTCAAACATTTCAGCATATCGGTTCTGAGTCAGTGTTGGATCCTCTTGATTTTAAGTCTTCTCTTTTCTTAGTTTACCTTTCTCCTTTTACTGTTTTAGAAAAGCACTGAGGCTACACACCTTAAATAAATGACAGGAACTACTGAAGATTTCTAGATTTCCTGAAATATGGTCTGCTACAGTTATCTCTTCTACTGCCCTACATGCACCACACCTACAACTGGCCTTTAGCTTTTCACAGAGAAGAGAGAGATTACTTCCAGCTACTTTTTTCCCCCTAAACCTAACTAGTGAATGATAGGATAGCTAGGATAATTTATAATTCTTATAAGAACGGCAACGAGACGTCGCCAATCTTCTGCGATCACCTATATTTTAAAAACTGAAACATTTTTATTATTGCCAGTGTTGTCAAAGACGCGCTTAAAGCGCACTTAAGCCCTAAAGCGAGGCTCAAAACATGTTGAGCGCTTCGTTTCGCTTTGTGGGCGTTTTAGTGTCGCATCAAGGCTCTAAGACATATTTTTCCTTGCCAATGAGTGTAATCCTGAAAATGCGACATTAAACATTTGATATTTCACTTTATCGTAAAAAATTTTTCAATTTCTCTGTCCATATATTTGTTATTCATGATTATAATTATTAGTCTTGGACTACATATACATATTTTTACTTTTTCTCCAGTAGCGCCTTTTTTCATTAAAGCCCACGCTTTATTTGCGCTTAAAGCCCCAACGGACCTTAGAGCTTTTTTGCGCTTTTCGCCTTTGATAACACTGGTTATTGCAAGTGAGAAGAAAAAAACAACACAAGTAAATGATTGTGGAAAAAATGTTGGACAAAAAGTACATTTGATAAGAGATTGAAAGAGCGAAGAAAAGGCTTCTGAACTGAGTGCATGATGGTTGAAGTTTTCCTCTCACTCCTCGTTCAGAATATTAAAATTGTTAATATCCTTTCCTTTTCAATAAAATCCTTGTTTTCATATTAGGGAACTATCACACGGGTTACAAGAAAAGAAGATAAAGTTGGGGATACCATATCACGCAAGCCTGTAGAGAAATAAATCACCCACAGAAACAAACATAACACGTGCGTGTGCGACAACTAAGAGGGAAAAAATTTAATTTTAAGGCCAACACCCTAGGATCAAGCATGTATTGTTTCCTAAGGTCCACCATATCTTACCTTCACCGGCTATGAAAGAGCTACTAATTACTAAATATGGTACATTCTCCAGAAGCAACAAAACAGTTGCCCATNCAAATAGTAGTTAGATGAGATGTTTCCATAGAATTCCATGCTAAGATTGAACTCAGAGGGTAACATCATTAGCTTCAAAACTACAGAATCGTCCTATAACATAACCACAACCTAGCACAAGGTCTGACATTTCTTTTGTGATAAAGTAATAAATTTTATTCATGTGTGGGCACAAGGTCTGATGCTTAGCAAGGGTTCCAAAAAAAAAGAAAAAATTGTAAACAATTCATCACATGCATGCACATACCCTCCATAAATAAGCTGCAACTTCCTGTTCAATGAAATTAGTCCAAGTTATTCTTGCGAAAGCATATTGCTGCATGGGCATTCTGACACATACATATCAAATTGCCAAGGTACAAGAACTAGTCACAAATTTTAAATATTAAATATTTTACACTTCTGACAATATAAATCTTGAAGCAACTGACAAACGATGACAAGACCATGGAAAATTGCTTGAATTGAAAGATAGAACAACATCTCTATGGAACAAGCTGAAAGTAGACGAAATCACTTATTGAAGATATATCTACGGTGCATCCTCATTGAAGAAATCTAATTGCTTCAATAAAGCTACTACAAGTGAGAGCTACAAAAACAGATAGCTAGAATTAGATTGGTAGATAGATTGTGAGAAAAAGATAGATTGGTAGATAATATTTGTGAGAAAAAGAAAATCTGTTAATCCCGTGTTTACACCTCCTAGCTAATTGAAAAGAGAAAAAGAAATGACGAGACGCTACTTAAATTAAATGCATGCAAAGCCGGATTAAAGAACACATTGGCAGAAATACAGATTAACATTAATGTCCGTAAAAGGTAAAAAAAGAGTTCTGGTTACTCTCTTACTCTGCATTTTCAGGAACTTTTCCCGGATTTTTGTCCTTGAAGTCCACCAACTGAGCAAATAAGTAGGCTTCAGCCAGAGAGAAAAGGGTATCAATAAGTGCATAGTCAGGTTCATCAAATGAATCCCGAAGCAAGGTATTGCCATAGGTAGCAACTTTATCTTCTTTGGACATCTCCCTAAATCCATGGTAAGCAACTTTCACATATTTGTGTCGGTCCATCTGTTACATGAGCAAGCAGAAAAAGGAAGAATATTTAAATAAGAAAGAAGTGCAACTACAACCATAACCAGGATGAAGTGAAATTTATGATTAAGACAGGAAACAATTACAATGCAAGGACAACGTCGCGACAAACCTTTAATATATTCCCCCTCTTTTTATCAAGAACCAAACCTCTGACCATATAGCTCCAATCAAATGACCATTCCAACAGCTACACAACATCCAACATGGTGAAAAATTTTCCAGTTATCACTTCAGACATCAGTAATAATGAAAATGAAACATCAGATTCAATAGTCAAATAAACCGCCAGCACATACAATAAATGAGCAGTGATTTTTTAAGGCAATCACCATCCGTCAACAATTGATCCTAAAACAGCCAACTGCTTTTACACCAAAGACAGAATAAGGTTGGACATTCAATATCTAAATCATGAAAACGAAAACGTTCAACTCAACATTACACATAATATCTCACTACATATACATGCCAATACCAGGTTCTAGGTCACTAAAAGTCACAAGTGATGCTAATACACCTATAACATGTCATTGAGCATAATATCCATAAAATAAGATGAATAATCTTATTGTGCCCGAGGAATAAGTGCACATTGAGACAACGAACTAGCACATAGATATTTCTGATCAATTCTTATTGAGGCTTTTCCGTATAAAAGTACTAATAGTAATTTTCACGAACCTCTGGAGGATATCCTAAATCATAGACTAGCTTTCTGACAGTGCCTTCATATGCAAGAGATTCAAAAGTCTCAGGTTTGTACTGCGCCAGGGTGTAATCCATGTCAAAGCCAACAGCAACTATACTTTTCATGTTTAAGGACCTGTTGCAGAATATCTGCTTTCCTATGTCAATTTCACACCCTCCTTCGGGAGATGACCATATGCAGGATTGTTGACCACCATTGGCACCATTTCTCTTCTCAATCAGCGTCGTCCTGTTATCTACACCAACACCATCCATTGTACAACTTGAATGTAACTGATCAATCCCTGAACGGTATAATCATAATGAAAATTAGCTAGTAGAGGATAGTATATGAACTTGTCAAATTCCATTACCAATCTGAAAATTGCAGCATTCACGGGGCTTCCTGTTCGATGCTTTAGGAACAGGAAAAGCAACACGAACTGACAGAGAGAACTCAAACCAAAAAAAGAGTTTTTGACCAATCCAATGCTGGTTTCAATAAGACAAGGCCAAAATGTAGCCTTAGAAATGAGAGTTATAGAATTGGCACCCATGAAGAGTTGCATATCGTTCTGGCCTTTGATCACAATCACTCAGTTAAAGCCTTTCTTCATTGATTAAAAATTCATTATGGGTATTCATCAACTGCTATCTTACGTTAGTATTATCTTATATTAGATTACATAACCTTATCAGAATCATCTCTTGCACAAACACTGTATACTAATAACAAACCATGCAGGGAAATTAGGCGAAGGTACAAAGAGAAATTTTGAATGTGAATCTCAGCCGCATCTAAAATGAGTTTTCAAAATTCCAAATGTCAAGCTCTGATATAACAGTAACATACACCAAACTCATCAACACCAACCTTCTCAGCTTTCTTCAGGTAGAGGAAAATAGTACTACAGATAGTAACTTTGGTAGTGTAGGAAAATAACAAAAACCGTAAGAAAAGGAGTATACTTTTGAGTGAAGTGACTCTATCCTAAAACCAAAATCTTAGTATCTTACCTTTAATCACAATTGTAAACCAACTCAAAGCACCAGATTTATGTCCCAACGTGTAAGCCTATACTCCAAGATATGCTCCAATGAATACCTATATTTCACCAAAGTGAATTTCACTCGTTACAATCGAACTCCTATTAATATGCGCCAAACTCCAAATAACCTACTAGTAAGTAGAACAGTCTATTCTGGATCAACTATTCAAGAAGCATAGTCTCATAATAGTGCTCGTAAGAAACCAAAACTAAGACAAGAAACGAGAGAGATGGATCACGGGTTTTGCCACATTGAAAGGACATCAAAGTAACAAAAAAAATTTAAAAAAACAGCTTTCAACGGGACCTAATCTAGTTTCCCAGATACAGAATCTATTCTGCTCCTTTAAAAAATTTGTTCAAGCTCATACCAGTTGCACAACCAAAATTCTCAATATTTTGAAGTTCCACAGACAAAATAAATCATCATAATAACAAAACTAAGACGAAAAATAAAGTTCAAATGACAGATTATAAACTGAATTCATTCATTCATTTTTAGTCTTAAACAAAGAAGAGTCAACTACCATGAAAAATGCCACACAACTCTAAATCCCAGGCTACAATGATTTTTTTATTGAGTCACAATAGATTTGGTCATAAAGAACCCATTCCTACAGAATTAAGAAACCATTAGAAAAAATAAATAAAGGACCGCACNAGGCCAAAATAACACCTCAAGTAACAACAAGAGCATGCTCTAGAAAACCAGTGTTGAGTTTGCTAATGAAAATAAAGATGATTAAGTAGCTAAAATGACACGAACCAAAATCTCAATCTGTCGTGATGGCGCCTATCTCGATACTAGGCAAGCCGATAATCTCAATAAACCACAATTCTTCTAAGTTTGAAAACATAATATTTAAATACAATACAAAATCCCACAAATACTGATACAAATATTCTCCAAAACCTGGTGTCACTGAGTACATGAGCATCTAATGTGAATACAAATCTGAAAAATACGGTCTATAATAGTCTGAGACCAAATACAGTAAACAAGAAGATAGAGAAGGAAAGACAAGGTCTGCGGAACACGGCAGCTACCTCAGAATCTCCGAAAAATCAACTGCGCGAAACGATCAACACCCGCTATGTCCGGAAATACCTGGATCTGCACACGAAGTGCAGGGTGTAGTATGAGTACAACCAACTCAACAAGTAACAATAATAAATAAGGAACTGAAGATAGTGACAAGCTACACAATTATAATTCATTTTCAGTAATTTCCAACACAGAGTAGACATGCTTTCAAATCCAGCAGTTTAAGTCAAGTCAATTTATACAGTTCATGTAATCCGGATATAAAATCTTTCAGAGAATTTCTCAACAATGACAAATAGCAACTAAGTGCAACAACAAATGAAAATCAAGTATAGCTTCTCAGGGCAACAGTCACTCAACTCGTCACAACAGCTCAACCACTCGGCTCTCAGCCCTCAACACTCACACTCAATGGGTACTCGCGCTCACTGGGGTGTACAGACTCCGGAGAGATTCCTACAGCCCAAGCGCTATAATCTGCACGGACAACTCACGTGCTGCACTGACAACTCACGTGCAGCACGGACAACATAAATATATGGATCTGCATGGACAACTCACGTGCTGCACAGCCAACTGACGTGCTATAGTATAATATAAGGATCCGGACGGCCAACTCACGTGCTTCACGACCAACTCACATGCTATAGTATAATATAAGGATCTGCACAGACAACTCACGTGCTGTACGAACAACTCACGTGCTATAGTATAATATCTCACAATCCGGCCCTCGGCTTCGCTCAGTCATAAAGCTCTCTAGTCTCTCGGGCTATCAACAATCATGAAATCAGCCCAAACAACAATGATATGATACATCAATAATGAACAATAAAGACTGAGATAAAATAATCAAGTAAACTTTGACTGAGTATAAAATAACAATTTAAGCAGATAACTCAACATGTACACGATCTCTGTGGGTCCCAACAATACCAACATGTAGCCTAAATATGGTTTCTAACATGACTTATAGTCAAATTTTCACAACACATCGAGGACACATAACTATCAACAAATTATTCAACTTTACAGTTTCCACGGGATGGACCAAGTCATAATCCCCCAAGTGCACGCCCACACACCCATCACCTAGCATGTGCGTCACCTCCAAAATAGTCACATGACACAAATTCTGGGGTTTCATACCCTCAGGACCAGAATTAAAACCGTTACTTACTTCAAATCGTGTAATTCTTTATTCCGCTATGCCCTTGCCACGAAAATTGGTCTCCGAAAGCCTCGTATCTAGCCACAATTAATTCGATTCAGTCAATACCAATTATTGTAATTAATTCCATGAAAAAATACTAATTTTTTCAATAAAATCCAAAATTAACTAAAAAATTATCCGTGGGGCCCACGTCTCGAAACCCCAAAAAATTTTAAAATATGAACGCGCATCTAACCACGAGTCCAACCATACAAATTTCACCAAATTCCGACATCAACTCGACCCTCAAATCTTCAATTAAAGTTTTTGAAGATTTTTACCATCTTCAACCCAATCTTTACCCATTTGAACTCAATAATCCTTCCATTAACCTTATTGGTATGTGTATGTATAAATAAGACTCTAACACCCAAGAGTCATACTTTTAATTACTCATCTTTACTCCGAACCCGAAATTGAAGAATTGAAAAAATAAATTCTTACCTCTTTGAAGCCCTAGCAAGATCCTTGTGAAATCTTCAACCCTTGAACAAGAATTGATGGATAAATGATTAAGTCTTCACTTTCTCTCTCTAAAATGCTCTCACCTCTCTCTAAAATGTCAGATTTTGGCTAAAAAATGAAGTTCAAGGGCTATAAATCGAAGTCGAGTCGGGTCAAAAATTAAAAAAAATGGAAGCTCCGACGCAGTTATGAGATCGCATAACACATATGTGGTCCGCATAACGACCGCATAATTTGGTCTCCAAAATTGGGCGTGACTGACCCGGTCTACGATCATTATACGGCCCGCATACCTGTTCTGCGGTCGCATAATGTGCGGCCCGCATACCTGTTCTGCGATCGCATAATGTACCGCAGAACAGGTCTGTGGTTGCATAGTGCACCGCAGATTTTCCTCAAATCTTGCCCCTCTCCTGATCCACTCTGCGACTATTATGCGATCCGCAGAGTGATTCTGCGAACGCATAGTGGTCGTAGAAATGACCATTTTTCCGACAAAATTTTCCTTTAGACATCGGTACATTGTTCAACCCAATTGTACTATTTGATCTACCTCGGCACTACAAAATCTTAATTTCCTTAATAAAATTTCTCCGGGGTCGTTACACATAAGTCAATATCCGGCCAACCTTTTCAACTTAAATTCTAAACCTTGGAACTAAGTGTTCCAAATCATTCCAAAACCTCACCGGACCCGAACCAATTACCCCGGCAAGCCAAATAACAACCGTAAATCACAATTTGAGCAGTAAATGAGGGAACGTGGTTACAATAGTCAAAACGACCGGCCAAGTCGTTACATAAAGAGACAAACCTTTTCCCTTCTAGCATCTACCCCTCGTCTCTACACCCCCTTCCCCCATCTCCCTCCCCCTCCTACAAAACCAAAATGCCAAAATAAAAAAGAAGCTACTAATATTTTTATAACCAGGAAATCCTCGAGGATCAATAACACAAGATTTGAAACTTGGTGCATAAACTTAAATACCAAATCAGGCTCGTGACGTGCCCCTAACCTATACCTACACATCACACGTTGCGCTCTTACCACTATACCAAAGCCCAAAGGGAAAGAAGTTAATTCCTTTACTGCAATCACAAATTCAATATTGCTATAAACACCAATAAAAGTAGGTCAAAAATAAATATATATAAAAAAAAAGAAGAGCAGAAAAGCATCAACTTTTACGACGAACTGGTTTCCCACTTTCCGGGAAATAGTCGGAACTTTTAGAACTGAGAATTCCGAAATTGAAATGGAACCTTCTGTAAAGAGATGAAACGAGGTGGTGAGGAGGAGAGAACACAGAGAGACAAAGAGAAACTGAACGCTTAGGAATTCGCATCTTCGACTTAAATAGCCATTTTTGGGATTCAAAA